ATGGCTTGTGAGTGATTGAGTTTATATAGAGTGAGACTTCGAGGTCTGTTAGTCTTGTCCACTTCTTGAGGGATAATTAAGGGATATTTCTTTGACTTGGTATTTTATTCATTTTAATCAGAAAATATAATTTTTGAAAACAATATGACTTGAAGTTGTTGAGGAATATCAGATTTTGTGGGACTTTTTTTGCTTCTTATTTTTGAATTACAAAATTATGTGGACAACGAGAGTTTTCCAAAAATATTCGTATATTAAGTGAAAATTAAAATAAATAAAAAAAATACTTACGGACAAAAACAAATTTCTTCTCATTGACCATTTCTGCTCTTTCTTCTTAAGGATTTTCAATTTCGGGTTGATTTTGTAACTTTAGAAAGTTTTGGTACACATCATTGGATTTGGAATAATTTAGGGACTTTGTCCCAAAATGTTCCAATTACTTTCTCCGCATCGATTCCCTTTAGGGTTTAAGTCGTTAAACCCAGAAATCCTACATTCATCGTTCGATTCGTAATCTCTCAGCGAAGAGCTAAAATGGCGAATTCAATGGCTACGCTTTCGAGAAAACTCTATCGATCTCTTCTTCTCACCAACCCTAGATTTTCTCAAGCTTCCATGTCCTTCTGCACCAACATCCCCTCCCGAGAAAACTCCGACATTGACGAGTTATCGGCTAACTCAGACACTGAATCTCCCCTTGAATCGAACGCTTCAGATCCAACATCTCGAATTCCCGGAGAAGATCGCGTGATGGAAGAGCGTCCACTCGAGAACGGCCTTGACTCTGGCATTTACAAGGTCTCATCTTCTTCCTCTTCAAAAATCAGTTCTAATTCCAATTGCTACTTGTGGTTTATAGGGTTCTATTCGTCAAGATCATTTCAATTTTGATTCGTTTATGATCGCATTGCTAGTCATTTTCTGAGTTTATTATTGAATTTGGTACTAAATTTTGTGGAGAAATTTAGGCAATTTTGGTAGGGCAAGTGGGTCAGCTTCCTTTGCAGAAGAAGCTGAAGAGTGGTAGAACAGTCACTCTCTTCTCTGTAGGAACTGGTGGGATTAGGAACAATCGGAGACCGATGATTAACGAAGACCCGAGAGAGTATGCGAACCGGTCTGTAGTGCAGTGGCACCGTGTCTCTGTTTACCCTGAACGATTGGCAGATCTTGTGTTGAAGAAAGTTGAACCCGGGTTAGTTCTCTTCTGAGATCATATCTTAGCTTTTGAGGTTATGTGATGGTATTTTGATAGATAACAAATGAATCAAAGATTAATCCTGCCTGAATTGGAGAAAAAGGATGAAACTTTATGCGGAAATTTAGTCGCTGGAAACAAAATGGTAGCTTGCTTTCATGTCTGTGTCAATGAGCAACATATTGTTTGTGTTCTATACAGCACAATTATCTACTTGGAGGGTCATCTGGAGACGAAGATTTTCACTGATCCAGTCACTGGTTTAGTTCGACGAATAAGAGAAGTCGCAATTCGTAGAAATGGTACTAGTTTCTCAACTCCAAGAAATCGATTTTGTTTAGTCAAATTTAGCATTGTACATTTTCATTATGAAAAATCTGATCTTGATCTCTGTTTTTTCTCCCTGCAGGCCGAGTTGTGTTCTTAGGAAAAGCCGGTGATATGCAGCAGCCAAGTTCTGCTGAGCTTAGAGGCGTTGGCTATTACTGATTTCTAACTAATAAAATTGTCATTAAGGTACACAATTTGCCATTGTAGCTTTTTCACTTCTCTTGTCTTGTAAACTTACATGTTTGGTTTAGTGTTCTTCAATCTATTGGTCCTATACATTGTTCTTGACAAATAACCCGAACCAAATCCAACCAATACATTTTATATTTAAACCGAATCCAAACCAGAATCTTGATTTAAGACAAAGTGAAGCCAAAACCGATCTCCACGTGTTTGCAAACATTGCATGAATGCCACCTCAAAGCTGAATCTGTCTTCCATTTGTTTTTACCCTTTCCTCTTTCTGTTCTCTGTCACAAACACAAAAGCAACAATCACTTCTCTACAATGGCGGAAACGTTCTCTAACGACGATGCCTATTATAGGCCCATCTACGGTAGCACCACCACCGATAACAACAGCCCCATCGCGTCGCTTCTCCGTCTTCTCCGATCTCATTCACCAACCTCCACACAGCTCTTTGGTTTCCTCGCTCTCTTTGTCTCCAGCGGAATCCTCCTCTTCCTCCTCGGTGCAACTGTCATCGCCACCGCCCTTGGCCTCATCGCGTTTCTACCGTTGATCGTTATCTCGAGCCCGATTTGGATTCCTGTTTTTGTCGTCGTTGGCGGGTTCTTAACGGTCGTGGGATCTCTTCTAGGGACGGTGGCACTGGTGTCGTGGACGTACCGTTATTTCCGGGGAATGCACCCGGTTGGATCGGATCAGATGGATTATGCACGTAGTCGGATCTATGACACGGCCTCTCACGTCAAAGATTACGCAAGAGAGTACGGTGGCTATTTCCACGGCAGGGCTAAAGATGCGGCCCCAGGTGCTTGAGTCTTGACCTTAACCGATCCGTGTAGTCTGGTTTATGGTAGTATCAACCGACCCGGTTCGGTTTATGGAGGAACACGGTTAATGATAATATTACATTTTGTTATTTTATTTCGTTTCGGTTTATAAGAAGAATATATATGGTAAGTACAAGCTTTTTAAGATTTTGGGTTGCATGTGTTCGTCACTTGAAATGTGATGTTTTATTTTCTTTGCGAGTATTTCACACTTTTTTTTTGGAGATGTACGTAAATGACCAAATGTTTTTCGGTTTATTTTTTCTTTACAACCCTATTTATACGTTTCATGAGCATGAGAATTCTCTATCTTTTAATTGTTTTGTATTTATAATTAGACTGAATCTATAAGAAAAAACAAGAAAACGATTACGGAATCGAATGCAAAAAATTTATGTAGTAGTCTATTATCAATGCACCCTTTTACAAGTTAATTAATGAATCATTGTGGGTTGATGCATGAACCGAGACTAGCTAATCTAAGATAGTTGGAATTTCACCTAAAAACATCCTATAAACTCAAACGAAAAATATAATTACGAATCTAAGATAGTAG